GCTGAAGGTGTTTATCAGCTGTAGGAGTTCCCTTGGTGAAATGTTGGGCTCACTCAGGTAAACATATCATCTGTAAATAGTGATACTTTGACTTCTTCCTTTCTGATTTGTACCTCTTTGATCTCCTTCAATTGTCTTATTGCTCTAGCAAGGACTTCCAAAACTATGTTGAAGAGATATGGAGAGAGTGGGCAGCCTTGCCTTGTCCCTCGTTTCAGTGGAATTGAACTAAGTTTCTCTCCATTGAGTTTGATGTTTGCTATAGGCTTGCTGTATATTGCCTTTACTAAATTTAGGTATGTCCCCTGTATCCCTGATCTCTCCAATATTTAAACATGAATGGATTTTGGATTTTGTCAAATGTTTTTTCAGCATCTAAGGAGATCATGTGTTTTTTTCTTTCAGTTTGTTAATATGGTGGATCATATTGATGGATTTCTGTATACTGAACCATCCCTGCATACCTGGAATGAAGCCTACTTGGTCATAGTGGATGGTATCTTTGATGTGTTCTTGTATTCGGTTTGTAAGTATTTTTTTGAGTATTTTTGCACCAATGTTCATGAGAGAGATTGCCCTGAAATTCTCTTTCTTTGTTGGGTCTTTGTGAGGTTTAGGTACCAAGGTGACTGTGGCTTCATAGAATGAGTTTGGTAGTGTTCCTTCTGTTTCTATTTTGTGGAATAATTTGAAGAGAACTGAAGTTAGCTCTTCTTTGAAGGTCTGGTCGAATTATGTACTGAAACCATCTGGGTCCTTGGCTTTTTTGGATGGGAGACATTTCATGACAGCTTCTATTTCCTTAGGGGATATAGGACTATTTAATTGATTTACCTGATCTTGATTCAGATTTGGTAAGTGGAATCGATCAAGAAAATTGTCCATTTCATTAAGATTTTCAAATTTTGTGGCATATAGATTTTTGAAGTAAGTCCTAATGATTGGATTTCCTCAGAGTCTGTTGTTATGTCCCCTTTTTCATTTCTGATTTTTTAAATTTGGATAGTGTCTCTGACTTTTAGTTAGTTTGGCTAAGGGTTTGTCTATCTTCTTGATTTTCTCAAAGAACCAGCTCTTGGTTTCATTGATTCTTTGAATTGTTTTGGTTTAATATATATTGATTTCAGCCTTGAGTTTATTTCCAGCCGCCTACTCCTTTTTGGTGTGTCTGCTTCTTTTTCTAGGACTTTTAGGTGATCCATTAAGTTGCTTGAATGAGCTATCTCGAATTTCTTCTTGAAGGCACTTAGTGCTATGAAATTTCCTAACACTGCTTTCATTGTGTCCCATAAGTTTGGGTATGTTGTCTTCATTTTTATTGAATTCTAGGAAGACGTTAATATCTTTATTTCTTCCCTAACCCAATTGTCATTTAGTAGTAAGTTGTTCAGTTTCCACGTATGTGTAGGCTTTTTGCTATTTCTGTTTTTGTTGAGGTCCAGCTTTAGTCCATGAGGGTCAGATAGGATACAGTGGATTATTTCAATCTTCTTGTATCTGTTGAGACTTGCTTTGTGACCAACCATATGGTCTATTTTGGAGGTTTCATGATGTGCTGAGAGTAAGGTAAATTCTTTTGTGATTGGGTGAAAGGTTCTGTAGATGTTTGTTAGGTCCATTTGACTCATGACCTCTATTAGAGACATTGTTTCTTTGTTTAATTTCTGCTTTATTGACTTGTCCTTAGATGAGAGTAGGGTGTTGAAGTCTCCCACTATTAATGTGTGGGGAATCTATGTGTGGTTTAAATTTTATTAATGTTTCTTTTACAAATATGGGTACCCTTGTATTTGGGGCATAGATGTTCAGGATAGTGATGTCTTCCTGGTAGTATTTTCCCATGATGAGTATGAAGTGTCCTTCCCCATCTCTATTTTCAATAAAAGAAAAAACATTTAAAAAGAAGAGTCATTTAAAAACATTTAAAAAGTAGGGTTTCTACTGCTGTGACGAAACGCCAGGACCAAAAAGCAACTTGGGGAGGGAAGGGTTTATTCAGTTTACACTTCCTGATCATAGTCCATCACTGGGGGAAGTTAGGACAGGAACTGAGGCAGGGCAGAAACCTGGAGGAAGGAGCTGACACAAAGCCCATAGAGGGATGCTGCTTACTGGCTTGCTTCCCACGGCTTGCGCATCCTGCTTTCTGATAGAACCCAGGACCATCAGTCCAGGAATGGTACCACCCACCATGAACTAGGCTCTCCCCCACTGATGAAAAAATTGAGAAAATGTCTTTTAGCTGGATCGTATGGAGGCATTTCCTCAACTAAGCCTCCCTCTTCTCTGACAGTTCTAGCATATATCAACTTGACAAACAAAACTGCCAGTACACCTAGACTAATAAAATCCCAGTATAAAGCATGAGAAATCTCTGTTCCAGTTGGTCATGGGAGCCCAAACAATATAGGTTATTACTGTTGCACTTGGCTGTCTCCCTAAAACAGTCTCTACTGCTGAAGGCACCACCCACTTTGAACACAGAATACAAGAGGATTTGAGCTAGATTGAACTGAAAATCTCCAACCTGGGAACTAGATTATACCAAAAGGTATAAGCAAGATGCCAAGGGAGGAAACAATCAATAATCCTATGCAGCTGTGACACCTACAATTCACAACAATCATCAGTAACGCCAGTTATCCCTAAAGGTGCAATGTTGGCACTCTTATCTTCATGGTAACCAACAGCTCTCTAATCAGACAAAGGTCCATTTAAAGGAGGGAAATCATGCCTAGTCAGTCATTCATGGCTAAGAGGTCATGGATCTTAGAGAACCTACTACTACCACTTTCCTCAACCAGAGTAATTCTTAATTGCATTCTAAAAACTTTATACCCATCAATGAGTGTAACTCTCAACCCTCATCAAAGAAGCTTCTTTCCACAAGACGCAATTAGAGAAAGTAGTAACGACTCAAAATGCAGGAAACAATTGACAATGGGGTGCCCATTCCTAATTAATATACATCTACAACACATCCCTATACCTAAATCTCTGGAAGCATCACAGAAGAAGGGGTGGGAAGATTCTAAGAGCCAGAGGACTAGGAAGCCTGCTGCAAGAGTATGTCTTCTAGATATGTCAGGGAAGTGACATTCATGAAATCTCAGCAACATGGCTGTTAAAATGAGACCTGAGTAGTAACATCAGTTGACTTGCCCATGTGGACGGAGGAAATCTCAAAGGCCCCAAGGCCTAGATGAAGAGCTACAGGAAAAATTAATCTACCCCAAGGAAGAGTTCCAAGTGGTCAGCCCTAAAATATACACATACACTAAACAGACTCATCAGGTTGTATTTATATAATTATTCACATATTTATACGTAACAATAATAATTAAATAAAGGGTTATGAATTTGAGTGTGCATGGGACATGATGGAGAGAGGAGCAGAAATGATGTCACTTTTTTTAAAGAAAGGAACTGCTAATCAGGTATACATAGGCAATAGAGATGACAACGTCCCATGTTAGCAGAACAGTGACTTGAGAAGCCCAGAAGGAAGCCTTGTACGTCTGGGAACCCCAAAAGCACAATTACCCAAACAATACAAAAGAACCAAATGTCCATCCATGAACCAAAAGCACGTATCTGCTCATTATTAGACATCTATGAAAAGTGAAGAAATACAAACATGCTACAGTGTCAGCTTTGAAAACACACTAGGTTAAACAAGGGAGACACAAAAGGCCAATCTGGTATAATTTCACTTAAAGGAAATACCCAAAGCATATTATATTTCATCTTCATTGTCAACCTAGGAGACATACCTCTGGGTGTCTATGATAATCCACAGAGGTTTAAGAGGAATGACCCACCCTCACTGTGGGTGGCACCATGGATTTCATGGGCTGAAATCATGAACTGGATAAAAAGGAAGGAGAATGAGAAAGTGGCTGAGCATAAACATTCACTTCTCTCTGCTGAGTACACAATAAGGCAACATGTAACTCAGGCTCTGGCTATGTGACTTCCTCCCCATGAAGGACAGTATCCTCTCACACTGTAAGGTAAAAGGGCTGGGAAAATGAGTAGGTAAAGCCTTTGCTGAACAAACATGGAAGACTAGAGTTTGGATTCCCAGCACCTACATGCCTGTAACCCTAGTGCTGGGTGAGTAAACAAGGCAAGCAGATCCCAAGGATACCAGCTAGCTAAGCCAGTCTAGCCCAGACATCTAGCTCTCAGGGAAGTGAGAGATCCTGTCTCAAAAGAAAAGTAGAAAGTGACAGACACTCAAAAGATGATCAAGAGGTCTGGAGAGATGGCTTAAAGGTTAAGAACACTGACTGTTCTTCCAAAGGTTCTAAGTTCAATTCCCAGCAACCACATGGCGGCTCATAACCATCTGCAGTGAGATATGTTCCCTCTTCCGGTGTGCAGGCAGAACATTGTATAAATAAATCAATCTTAAAAAAAAAAAGTTGATCAAGAGCCTCTACACCTGCATGAACACAAGCATATAAACACAAGAAAATAAACTCTTCTTTAAGCTGCTTTCATCAGACATTTTGAAAGTTTGCCACAAAAATGAGGAAAGTAACAAATAGGTGAATCCACAGGAAAAAAAAAAGGCTATTGTCCTTGCCAGGGACAAACAAGTAAGAGTAGAGAAAGGCATAAACGAGTTAGAACTACATGAAAATGTTGTAAGTCCAACAAGGAGTGGACCAAAAGCCACTGAATTGTTTAGAATGGTTAACTTTCTTTTATATGAATTTCATCTCAATAAAAACAAATAAATTACAAAGAAAAAATACATAGACATATATGTAACCATCTAAAACTAAAAACAATGGGAGCTAGGACATGTCTGATTAATAGAGGACTTGTCTAGCATGACCAGTCCTGGCTTCTAACCCTGCAAGAAGAAACTTAAAGGGGAAGGAACCAGCTGCTCTTAAGAATCCTATCATTTATTGATTGTTGCTCTTAGAGCCTGTGCTGTTGGTGTTCTGTTCAGGAAGTTTTCTCCTGTACCAATGAGTTCTAGGGTATTCCCCACTTTTTTTTCTAGCCGATTTAATGTGTCTGGTTTTATGTTGAGGTCTTTGATCCACTTAGACTTCAGTTTTGTGCAGGGTGATAAGTATGGATCTATTTTCATTTTTCTACATGTAGACATCCAGTTGGACCAGCACCATTTGTTGAAGATGCTATCTTTTTTCCATTCTATGATTTTGGCAACTTGTCAAAGATCAGGTGTCCATAAGTGTGTGGGTTTATTTCTGGGTCCTCTGTTCGGTTCCATTTATCCACCATTCTGTTTCTATGCCAGAACCATGCAGTTTTTAAAACTGTTGCTCTATAGTACAACTTAAGATCAGAGATGGAGATACCTCCAGAAGATCTTTTATTGTAGAGGATTGTTTTAGCAATTCTGGGTTTCTTCTTATTCCATATGAAGTTGAGAATGGGACCTCATGAAACTAAAAAGCTTCTGTAAAGCAAAGGACCCCGTCATCAAAACAAAACAACTGCCTACAGATTGGGAAAGAATCTTCACCAACCCTTTATCTGACAGAGGACTCATATACAGTATATATAAAGAACTAAACAAGCTGAAAAGCAGCAAACCAAGTAATCCACTTAAAAAATGGGGAACGAAGCTAAACAGAATTCTCAATAGAGCAATATTGAATGGCAGAGAAGCACTTAAAGAAATGCTCAACCTCATTAGCCATTAGGAAAATGCAAATCAAAACAACCCTGAGATTTCACCTTACACCCATGAGAATGGCCAAGATAAAAAACTCAAGGGACAACACATGCTGCAGAGGTTGTGGAGAAAGGGGAACCCTCCTCCACTGCTGGTGGAAATGTAAACTTGTACAACCACACTGGAAATCAATCTGGCGCTTTCTCAGAAAACTAGAAATAGCGCTTCCTCAAGATCCAGCCATACCACTCCTAGGCATATATCCAAAAGAGGTTCAAGTACACAAAAAGGACATTTGCTCAACCATGTTTGTAGCAGCTTTATTTGTAATAGCCAGAAGCTGGAAACAACCCAGATGCCCCTCAACTGAAGAATGGATGCAGAAATTGTGGTACATCTATACAATGGAATATTACTCAGCAATGAAAAATAAGGAAATCATGAAATTTGCAGGTCAATGGTGGGACCTGGAAAGGATCATCCTGAGTGAGTTGTCCCAGAAGCAAAAAGACACACATGATATATACTCACTCATATAGACATACAATGTAGGACAAACCCACTAAATCTATGCATCTAAAGAAACTAAGCAAGAGAGAGGACCCTAACTAAAATGTTCAATCCCCACCTGAAAGGCAAAGATGATGGACATCAGTAGAAGAAGAAAACAGGAAGCAACCTAGGAACCTGCTACAGAGGGCCTCTGAAAGCCAGAAGAAAACAGGAAACAAACTAGGAACTTACCACAGAGGGCCTCTGAAAGCCTCTGCCCTGCAGACCATCAAAGCAGATGCTGAGCCTGATAGCCAACTGTCGGGCAGAGTAAATGGAATTTTATGTAAGAAGTGGGAAATAGTAAGAGCTGGAGAGGACAGGAACTCCACAAGGAGAGCAACAGAACAAGAAAATTTGAACACAGGGAACTTCCCAGAGACTCATACTCCAACCAAGGACTATTCATGGAGATAACCTAGAACCCCTGCACAGATGTAGCCCATGGCAGGTCAGTGTCCAAGTGGGTTACCTAGTAATGGGAAGAGGGACTGCCTCTGACATAATCTGATTGTCCTGCTCTTTGATCACCTCTCCCTGAGGGGGGAACAGCCCTACCAGGCCACAGAAGAGGACAATGAAGCTACTTTTGACGAGAACTGATAGACTAAGATCAGAAAGGAGAGGAGAACCTCCCTTATCAGTGGACTTGGGGAGGGGCATGCATGCAGAAACGGGAGGGAGGGTGAGATCGGGAGGGGAGGAAGAAGGGGCTTATGGGGGGGATACAAAATGGATAAAGTGTAATTAATAAAAAAAATCCAAAAAAAAGAATCCTATCATATCCATATTAAGCTCTCCAAATGTCCTAAGCCACTGCTTTCTAAAGCTGTTAACTGTCATCTGCTAAGGTCCTACAGTGCAGGCCTTGGAATATCTACCATGAACACCAGAGATCCACCATTGCTTGTGTTTTGCCTTTTCTAGCAATCTCATCACAGATCAGAGGTTGGCGGGTAAAGGCCAAATCTATAACCAAATTTTAGGCACATACTTTGTTCAGTACGAAATATTTTCCCAGGGACAGTGAATCATGTTTGTTCGGTTTGTTTTTTTTGTTGTTGTTGTTGTTTGTAAGATATCTAGCTATTGAAACTACAGCTTCCCCAACAACTCTGTCATACAAGGGATTGAACAAATTCAGCCCTCAGAACTTTATATATAAAAATAACAACAAAGAGAATTTGATATTTATGGAATAAAATTCATTTTCAAAGAACTGGGCAGTTGAAACAGGATTCAGTAATGTCTCCCATCACTGGCATGGAAGGACTCCCAATCCCAAGAGTGTCTATGCTTTATATGACAATGGGAATTATCCAGAATCCTACTTCTACTCCTATGATTCCAAATTTCAGAATGCCCATTGTGTTTGGTGGAATGCGTCCCTGAGCTCTTCTTTCTATCCTTATCTCTGCTCTTTTCTTCTTCTTCCTCCCTCCTGCTTAAGGACTTATGCTCATGCTTGGGTTTCTCTTTCTTTGGTTCCCACTCAGGGTTCTCTGCTCTACCCTGGAAGGAAATCCTGACATCAAAGAAGTCTGAATGATTCTTCTTCACCTCTCTATCATTAGACTTCTGCACTCTCTCTGAGCTCTTGCTGTTGTGCTTCTCTGGGCCATGGTCATCCTTTTCCTTGACTGTCTTGCTTCTGGAGGACAAAGAACAGCATGGCAGCTCTGCTTGTACCTTGCATTCAATCTTCTCTTTTTCTTTCTTTTTCTCTTTTTTGTCTGGGTCTGGGGAAGATAAAAAAAAAAAAAAAACACCAAAAACACACATACAGAAATCTCTTTAAAATATGTCTTTCTTCTCAGTAGATCACATCAAACTGAGACATTCCAAAATGTTTTGTGTGATAAACATCCACAACAGCAGGATGATGCAGTCACAAGTTATGTCTCCTGAAAAATGTCTTCAAGAATCAAACTTGATACCTGTTACTCCTAATAGGTCAAGTTGTTCAGAACAACCCTGTTCAAAAGGGCTGTATTTTTTGAGATATGGAAAGGTTAGGACCAGCACATTAAGGAAGACATCAGTTATGCCCACACCACTAGCCTTCCTTCCTCAGACACTTCTGCTTTCTCAGTTAAGTAAGGAATCTCACCTCTTCGCCTTTTACACTAATGAGTGGATTATTGAATATCTGTGCATGCTTGGAAAAGAAGACACTAAGACTACCCACTCCTCTCCTGAGTTTTAACATTCCACCTTTATTGCAGAATATTTGCTCATACTGTGAACCCTGAGATTGTGTTGTTTATTGGAACAACCTGTTTCTAGTTGTAGTGTTGCTCAGCCCTAGCACACTCCTTTAATCCAAGAGCTTTCTGGTTGAGTACTGTAAGCAAGATTAAAGGAAATTAACCCCAGGTCAAAGGGGGAACAAGCAACCAGATAACAGGAAATGAACATAGGAAAAAAA